ACCACAGGGAGATCATACCACCGTGAGGCAGAGGCTGAGGACGACGACGACGAGTGACGAAGACGCCAGAGGAAGAGGAGGGCGATGAAGATGAGCGACGAATGGCGGGAGGAGATCGCCGAGCTGAGGAGCTGACGGCTGAGTGACGATCGACAGAGGAAGACGAGGAGATCGACGAGGTGAGGAAGACGGCTGAGGAGATCGACTGTGGAAGACGGCTGAGTGATGATCCACCCAGGTAAGCTTCGAACCCTAGAGTGTCGTTGGTGAAAAGGTCTACCAACGAGAGTGAGCCGAAACCCTATAGGTTTAGCTCTGATACCATGAAGCTTGAGTAACCAGCTTAGGGTATCATGAGATATCACCCCTTATTTATAAATGAAGATTTAGGGTTTACAAGGAAGACAATTACAAGATGATCCCTGAGGACATAATGATTACAGACCCTAGTGACTTTCGGCTAATATAATATACTAAGTGACTTTCGGCTAATATGCTAACAACAATCGCAACATTAAGGCCTCATTTGTAAAATTCTGGATTCTCACTGTCGAGCAAATTTCCAGAAATTTATTCAAATGCTTATAAGGGTCATCATGAGTTAGTCCATGGAATGATGGGAGCATTTGTATGGTGCTGGACTTAATCTCATAATAAGCAGCAGTGGTGTTGGGTAATTGGATGCATGATGGTGATGTATATGCAGTGGGTGTAAAATAATCCTTAAGGGTCCGGTTAGGCACATTCGGGACATTAGGATCTGCCATCTATAATGGCTCAATGTATGAATATGAATACTCAAGCCTAGGAACACGGGCAGAGGCCCTAAGTCTCCTAAGAGTCCTTTCTAGTTCAAGGTCCAAACTCCACAATTCAGGGCGACAAGAACGGTGCCCGTGCATACACTACCCACACACACACATAAAAAGTTCGACTCTGTGTACTAAGTTACGAAAGCATAATGCTAAAGGAGAAATACTCACAGCGGTTCAACGAAAACACTTTACTTGTCTTGCGGATGCTTGACGTGTAGACGTTGCCTCCAACCTCTATTTGAGCTTTGAGTTTCGTTTTAGCACTTTGGTGCTTTGCTTGTGAGTGGTTGCTTCTGTTTACTCACTTTAGTACTACGTTTTTTTTTTTTTTTAAAAGCTCGGCTGCGCTCCGCTTGCACTTCAATGATAACTCTAATTTCAAACGCTCTGCACACTTAACGACACAAAAGCATAAAATCCTAAACTAAAAATTAAAGTAAGAATGTAACTTTAAATTAACTAATTTCGCCAGAAGTCTCCGGCAACGGCGCCAAAATTTGATGAGTCGTTGAACACACCAAAAATAAACCCTAAACTACACCAAATTCTTTTAGAATAATGGCAAGTCCAGGTATCGATCCACAGGGACAATTGTGAAATTAAGCTAATTTAATTGTTACATTCCTAAATTAATTTTGATAAAAAGATTGATTGTTCATAGCCTAATTTAATAACAAATAAATTAAACTAAGGAATTAAATTATCAATTAGTTAGGTTTACTGAATTGAGGGAAAAACTAGGGCAAAGAGTCCACCACTAGCCACGTAATTAGGGTTTCCAATTGAAATCAATTATGCTATGGTTTGAACGGATTAATGCTTCGCAACTACAAGTTCAAAGCATTTAACAAGAAGATCACCACATTTAATGTACGAGCACGAACCATCTCAAGTAATACGAATCGTTCACTCTAAACTAAGGTAGTGATACGACTCATTCCTCGTAGTATGGTTCGTCTCATACCTTGAATGTGAAGGAATAGAAAACTCTTGCATGGATAACATTCAACAATCACAGAAAGTCAAATATTCGAAGAAATAATGAAAAATATATAAAAGAAACTTCTAAATCACCATACAAATGTTCAAATCTTTACATAATTAAAAATCAAAAAGAAAACTAAATAATTACATGGCTAGGGTTTTATCAAAACCCTAGAAAATGAGACTAGCCACTCATGGAGGAGTGGAAGGAGGTAGATGGAGAAGAAAACACCATGGGAGACATCCTTGAAGCTTTTTGTTTCTCTTCCCTTCCAAATCCTAGCCTCTCTTTAGGTCAAAACAAGTTCCGAACCCTAATCCAGCCTTTTCCTTGCCTTTTTATACTTCTGATCCCTTCCAAACAGGTTTAAAATGTCGGGCACAGTTTCCCAGAAAAAGTCAACGCACGTGCGGGAAAGTCAACGCACGTGCCGCTCGGTCAACTCTCTCCAAATTCTGTCTTTTTGCCCACTTTATGCTCCAATTATGTACAACTTGCTTGACATTTAACACACATAAAGTATACGGTTTGACCAGCAAGTGAAGTTAAGAGATTCTAATTAACGGCCTCAATGATGTACAATTAGGCCTTAATCAAAATATGAATTTATAAATTTTTTGGCTCGTTAAGGCTTGTGAACAGGCTCGAGCTCGAGTCGAGCCTAAGCCAACTCGGCTCGAGCTCGGTTCGTTAAATTTTTATTCAGCTCGAGCTCGAGCTCGTTAAAATCTTAATAAACAAGCCCAAACATACTAAAACTTGGCTCAGCTCGGCTCGTTTGCAGCCCTACATACTGGTATGCCTACATAGTTGAATTCCATGGTCTAATCTGGGATTGAATAGGCGGTACTGTCTGTTTTGGATAGCACATTGAAGTATGAGATTTTGATTCTCCTCTTGTCCTGTTTCATGTATTTATTTCCCAATCCATTGTTGTCTCATCATTGTCCTCATTGGCCTTTGTTTTCATATGTTATAAATTGGCTATCCCATCTACACCTAGGCTTTGTTGTGTGATTCACTTAATTTAAACTATTGGAATTAAGGCAGGATGTAAATAACCTCATAATGAGTAATATATTATTTGAGTTTTGGTCAATTTTTGCAGCCACATCTGGTATAAGATTATCTTCATGTTTCAGCTACTGCTAACTGTGATTGTTATCTGGCACAGGATCTAGATCTGCCGCGAGTAGAAGATGAACATGTGGGTTTCAGGAAGCCATTCACTATTTTTCTTCCCTCGTTGAAGTAAATTTGGTTAATGAGACTTTGCTCCCAGAGGTTATAATAACCTCTCAATTGACTGGATTTTGGGGTTATAATGAAAGACTTTCGGGATGCTATTTTTAATGGTGGCACAGCTTTAACTTGACAGATACTTATAAGCTTGTGTGTCCCATGCCTATTATGTTGTATTCGTAGCATAAAGTAATTTGCTGGAGAATAAGTGTTGGCTGTGTCCATTTCCCAGATTCAGGCTACCTACACTAAGCAAAGACTGGATAAAAAAGTCGTATTTAATTTGCCTTTTCTTATAAAAGCTTGTTTGCCCCATTCATATTGTGTATTTTATGTAGCAGAGTAATTTGCTGAAAACTATGGTTGGCCATGTTGGTTCCCTGGCTTTAGGCTTACCTTATTTGGCTTTTATCATTTATCAGTGATGGTGCTTGAAAGGGTGGTTTGCCCAACGGCAAGGCTTATCGTCAGTGTCTCTAGTGGCTTGCGTGGGTTTGAACCACAGAATCGTCTCTAGAAATGGAGTTGTCTATCTTGGACTTTGTTTTAGCAGGTGTTTTGTGTATGGTGTCGTTTTTTTATTTTTCAAGCGACGAAAGAGCTGCTTATATTTTAACTTTTTTATAGGTTTGGTCTTCCTAACTTGTTGCTTTTTTAAGCACTCCCCCCTGATTGAGTCTGATTTTAGTGGTCGATGTGAAACTCCATATTCGAATACAAGACAAGGGGGAAGGGAAAAAAAGTAGCTTTCTTTTACTTTTTATTTTTTCTGTCTCCAATTTTAAATTCAAATATAGTATTCATTTCGTTGATGTTTTTATCTAGAAATTTCATGTCTAAATTATCATATTTAAAATTGAGCTATTTCAAATTAGTGACCTAATTCTTTAATTTAAAATTCATAAATCTCACTGTAAACTTAGGTAGAAATATATTTGCTTGGTTCCATTTTTCTAAAAACACTTTTCAGAAAATTTTACTTCCTTATTTTTCGTATTTCTTTTTACTAAATTTTTTTTAATATTTGAAGTAATTTTTTTACATTTTAGACACACCTAACATAAATACGCCTAAAAAGTTAAAAAAAAAATGTAAAAAAAAATCTTTTAAAAATTTACTAAATACCAAAAATACAAATAAAAATATAAGAATTCAATACATTTTTTATATTTTTATGTATTTATTAATTTTTTAAAATATTTTTTTGACAAATTTTTTACTTTTCAGATACATCTAAGTAAGGTGCATTTAAAAAAGTAAAAAAAATGTTTAAAATTTGAAAAATATTCACTAAAAACAAAAAAAAACGAAAACCAAAAAACTCATTTTTCAAAGAACTTAATCCAAAAAATTCAAACCAAACAAACTGATTAGACTCAAATATTGACTTTCAAAGGATATTGTCAAACACTAGGTGCAAAAAATATCAGATTATTTTACTCTCGTTATTATTATTAATAAACTTCAAAATATACAATGACAACATGTGAAAGTAAATATTTGAATACCACTACCTCCCTAAGCCAGTTCGGTGCAAGATTCAAGTCAATTTTCTTGTCTTCCAACCAAAAAAGCAAGATTCAAGTCAATTTTCTTTGTCTTCCAACCAAAAAAAAAAAATTCAATTTTCTTTTCTCCCACTTCAAAATGCTAAAATATTTAAATAGATATAAACAAATTGGCAAAACCAAAGCCATTTTTCAGCTTACGGGTGTCATTTTGCCCCCTTTTTGGCACCGTTACTCCAATAATGTAAAAGTAATTTTTTTTATTTTTTATTTTTTATTATCACAATTACCATTCCTTTTCGGCCATTAGATCATCTCACCATAATCACAACCAATTGATCACAATACAAAAACTGACAGATTTGCCAAGACACAAAAGTTAGCAGAGCCATTATTTGACCAGAAGAAGAAAAATAAGAGAGGCTTTGAGAAGCATTTTGGCTAAGAGAGTAGCAAATACAATCGATATCTATTTCATTGTTGGCAGTTTACATATTTTACATAATTTCGGTTTCTACTTTTATCAACAGGCAGAAAGCCCTCTATACAGGTTGTGGAGGAATGTTTACAGCATATAAACCAAACCAAGCCTTAAGTCCCATGAAATAGGATTGGCTACGTGAATCATTTTTCTCTATTCGACTCTATAAAAGGCTAGCATCATATACAACAACAAATTCACAATGTGCAGTAAGGCGAGTTATACATCTGAATTACATACTGAAAGCAAGCTTAAGGTGAGTAATACATCGGAATTACGTACTACAAGCGAACTTTATGAAACAAGTGCCTGTACATTTTTATCTACCGATGACAGAGACGCCCTGTTGTGAGGTTGAGAGAGGAATTCATGCTCGCAGCCGGAAGGCATGACAGGTCGAATGCTGCTTGGATTCAGTGGAAAAAGAATGTTGTAGTAACCATCCATAATTGCTCCAAAATTGCAAGTTGCTGCAACCTTTGGAATCTGTTCAGGAAACGAACGTTGCAAGGTTAGAAGTAATGAAATTTCAACAGATGTGAGACGCTCTGAAGATTATAATATCTAACAGCTTCATTGCCAAAGAGCTTATTTTCCTAGATGGATGCTCTTGCGTGGGCGTAAACATATGCCAGTTTTACTACTATGGATTATCAGCAACTATGAATCATTAACTACTACATTTTCTGCTTGCTTTTTGTTTGAACTAAGAAAATATGAGATCTTATTCAGTTAGATAATCCTGTTGAAGGATTAATATTACACACATACTAGAAGGTTGAGACAGTATCAATGAAAGCAATGTGGTATTCTCTTTCTCCCTGTCCCTCCCTCTGTTAGGCTGATTCTAAACTTCGATATTGATGTGCAGATGAAGCAATTAAAGAAGGTTTTATCCTGTTGCTCAATAAATGGAATAACTCATGCTCAATTATGTGTATTAACACTTTGCAAGGAGTTCATTCACAAAAAAACATGGTCTCCATGCCAAATAAAACAGTGAACACCAGACCGATCTAGCACAGATGATGAATTGATGATTGTTGAAATCACCAAAATTCATGTACATCATCACCAACTTGTTCTCTCACCCAGCTAGTCAAATATGACAAATCTAATAAAACCCTTTATTTATCAAGAAAAGAGAGAATACAAAGCCTCTTCCAATCAGCATTTCGATCTTAATTAGATTTGCTGTTTCAAGTCAATGAGTCCCAGGAACATTGAAATGGGTAAGTTGTAGATTGCAAGCTAACATAATAACCTTATATATCAGATATTCCACACCATTTGACTATTTAAGAATATAACAGTCACAGCACGAGTTGGTACCTGATAGATATCACACATATACGCATGAAGGTTTGGATATTCAATCAGCTTCCTCTTCGTGCATTTGAACAGAACATTATACACAAGATCAAACCTAATCAAAGTTGTAAACAAACATATATCTGCTAGGGTCAACACATCACCACATAAATACCTAAAACTGCCCAAGTGATCATCTACCATGTCCAATGTACTAAACAACTCAATCACTGCTGAATCATACGCCTGTTGACTCTGAGCAAATCCACACCTGCACAATGCAACCACCATACAACCACAATTCAATATGACTTGTACACAAAATTTCAACAATCCTCTGGCATCAATCAATCATAAATCCGATATATATTTAAACAAACAGTTTCAATAATTCTTTGAAGTCCAATGTTGAATCATATGCAATATACCTATAGACACCATTGTTAACATTAGGGTATATGATCCGATTCCAATCCTCAATCTTTTTCTTCAACGATGGCGGTGAAAGATCCAAATCAGGATTCTTCGCCAACCGATTCAAACCCGAATTGAACAATTCAATTATGTCATAGCTCTCATTGCACACAACCTCCTTCCTCTCCACATCCCAAAGCATCGGAACAGTGGACCGGCCATCATATCCCCCTCTCTGAAGCCTATAAACCTCCCTAAGGGTTTTACGGCCATTTGCATTATCCAAACCAGGGACAACCCTATCCCCATCCGGGATATCCCTATGCTGGAACTCCCATGACCCGTCCAGTCCCGGCGAGGCAACCGAGACCGGCACGGCATCTTCGAGGCCCTTGAGTGCCCAAACGATCAAAGTCCGGTGCGCCCAGGGGCAAGGCAGGCCCACGTAGAGATGGAGAATGCCTGGTTTTTGGCAGGAAAATTGGGTGGAGCGAAATTGGGAGGTGGGTCGGGTGTAACGGCCGGTCGGGTCCGAGGGGGCGAGTTGGGACATCATGAGGTGCCACGCGGCGGACCAGGTGGAACGGACGGTGGAGATGAGGAGTTGGGGTGGAAGAGACCGACCCCATAGGAGCCTGGTGAGGGTTATGAGGGGGTTAGGGTTCGGGGGTTGTTGGTTCAGTGACATTCTAGGGCTGACATGGCGTGTTTTGGAGTTGGTTTTGGTGTTGGTGAGCTTTGTCGTCGTTGTCGTCTTCGTTGGGATGGGTAGGGCTGAGGGTAGCAGCGCAGTGCAGTTGCAGGACATCGTCTCTAGTTATCGACCTACACAGTCAGACCAAAAAAATAAAAATTAGTTAGGTCCATTTGTTTAAAAATATTAGTTTTAGTTCTTGCATTATTTAATTGAATTATGATGAAAGTTTAAATATATGTTTTTCATGACTTAAAATCAAACATTTGTTAAATGCCCAAATTTGTTTTCTTAATAATTCACATTTAAATGATGATAAAAAGGGTTAAATTTATTTAACACTCTTTAAAATAAAATTAATAAATAACAGCCCATATATATTGTAAGGGAAATAGAGTGTATGCCTTACAAAAATTTTAAATTAGTGATAAATTTATAAAGATTAATAACTAAAATTTTTTAAAAATTATGAACTTATAATTATTTTGTGAAACTACCATTTAACTATAATTTCTACTATATTAGATTAAGACCTTTTTTGGGGAATGAACAAAAAGTCATTACAAGTTTTTACATTATTCTGTTCACTTTTTTACATTTTTTTTTTTTATAAAAATCAAAAAAGTAACTAAACTAGTAAATTATCAAACGAGCCCTAAATAAATGAACTCTGTTTGGGGAGTGACTAAAAAGTCATTATAAGTTTTCACATTATTCTCTTTTCTTTTTTACATATGTTTTTATAAAAATAAAATAATAATAATTAAAATAGTTCATTATCAAACTAGCCCTAAACAAATAAATTTTGAATTTATAATTTTTTTTTTTTAAGATTGGGTTGGGATTTCATTTTATTGGGCCTGATATCTAGCGAAGCTGGGGCCTTAAGGTGCAAAAACAATCTGGTCCGGCCCCCATTGTCGTAGTGTTACATTATGGAAGTACCCTTCTATCACTTTTGAGATCAATGGTCCGACTGTGTAGGCCGATAACCAGAGACGATGTCCTGCAACTGCACTTCATTGCTGACCTCGGCCCTACCCATCCCAACGAAGACGAAGACGACAAAGCTCACCACCGCCAAAACAAACTCCAAAACACGCCACGTCAGCCTTAGAATGTCACTGAACCAACAAAAACCACAAACCCTAACCTCCTCACAACCCTCACTAGACTCCTACGGGGTCGGGTATCTTCCACCCCAACTCTCCATCTCCACCGTCCGTTCCACCTGGTCCACCGCGTGGCACCTCATAATGTCCTAACTCACCCCCTAGGACCCAACCGGCTGTTACACCCGACCCGCCTCCCAATTTCGCTCCACCCAAATATCCAGATAAAACGATTACTGCTAGCTACAGATCTTCCAATTACTATAAAACTTAAAAACCAATCTCTTTGTAGCGAGACTAACAATAAATTGGGATTATTGAAGTTACCAACTAAATTTTTCTCAAAGTGATAACACAATTGACTGTTTTGACTATTTCTTTATTTTCTTCTCTTTTTTTTTTTAAAAAAAAATAAAAATTTATTGTTTGGTTATTTTTTCCCCCTAATGTGCAAACCAATAAGTTTCAATTACAGATTAGAAATCATGATCGCTATATGATGGCCGCAAGACTGGTTCAATAATTTATTAGTAACCCAAAATAAAGAAATCTTTAGGTTCCATGATAAATAGAGCTTAAATAAACACAATGCTTCACTAAAATTTATAAATTAAAAAAAAATAATCTTATTTTTCTTAAGGCTAATCTTTATTTACCATGCAAAGAGAAAACAAAACTGTAAATGTGAGGAACATTTAAGTTTCCCCCAGATATAGCTAAACAAGAGCAATGTATTTGGCGATTCAAAGCCCAAACAAACCCTAGAAGAAAGAAAGAACCAAATGGTAGTGATTGAAATACATTTCGCATTTGAAAACCCATAAATTATTATAAAAATAACACAAACTGATTTCTTTTTTCATTCAAACTAATAATCGGGAAAACAAAAAAGAAGAAAATCTGAAAATTGAAGAAATGTAGAGACTACGACGCTATCGAAGAAGAAACTTACCAGCTTTTTTCAGAGCGATTTGAAACGGAGTGAAGTGAGAGTGTGCGAGAGTGAGAGCGATAGGGCACAGAGACAGAGAAGAAGAAGAAGAAAAAAGGGGGAAAATATTTTAGAGAGAGAGAGAGAGGAGGGGCCCGGAACTCTCTTTGGACGCGCCATCAAGCTAGTTAGGAAATATTTCAAGTACAAAATCCTAAAACTGTAACGAAATAACTCGTTTTTTATTTTATTAATTTTAATTTTAATTATTTTTTATTTTTGTCAAATCAAATTGATAGAAAATAATATTTAAATTATTAAACTTAATACAAGTATATATTGGGTTTGAATTATCTTAATTTTGTCATTTAATTTTAGAGAGCAATTGGAATTAGTAACTCCATTTTACGATCGACCTCGATAGTTTGATTCAAACTATTTAATTTTTAGAATTTGTTAAGTATAATATTTATACACAAATTTAACATAATTGAACATCAATAATTTTATGTTTTAAAAATTCAATGGCAAAATAAACTATACCAACTTTATAATTTACATTTTACTTTACTTATCGCCTCGGCCTCACACAAAATGGATCGTGGGCACAATGTGTGTGATAACACTACAACATATAACACCTTTGGCGACCAATTATTTTGATCCCTAAAACCATTATTTTGGTCTCTAAATGGTTTTCGTGACAAAATTAAATTCATCACTAAAAAAGTCACTAAAAGTGCGTCCAGAAAAGTCTTTAGTGACCAATTTTTGAAAATGTTGCTGAAAATGACAATTAGCGATCAATTTTATATTAAAGTTACCAACTAAATTTCAAGCTGACTGAAGTATGCATGTCAGATGCGCCAAATAACTTGTTTGTTAAGTATAATATTTATACACAAATTTAACATAATTGAACATCAATAATTTTATGTTTTAAAAATTCAATGGCAAAATAAACTATACCAATTTCTTTATAATTTACATTTTACTTTACTTATCGCCTCGGCCTCACACAAAATGGATCGTGGGCACAACGTGTGTGATAACACTACAACATCTAACACCTTTGGCGACCAATTATTTTGATCCTTAAAACCATTATTTTGGTCTCTAAATGGTTATCGTGACAAAACTAAATTCTTCACTAAAAAAGTCACTAAAAGTGTGTCCAGAAAAGTCTTTAGTGACCAATTTTTGAAAATGTCGCTGAAAATGACAATTAGCGATCAATTTTATATTAAAGTTACCAACTAAATTTCAAACTGACTGAAGTATGCATGTCAGATGCGCCAAATAACTTGAATACTTCCAAATGTGTAGAAATATAAACATGATGTTAGGTAGTTAATTATTTAAATTATTTTGCAAAGAAATATTACTAACCAAAGATGATCCATCTCACTGGGGGGGGAAAAAATCGAAGATTGTTTACCTGTGTTGCTGATAGTGATTTCCTCACAAGTTCTTTCAGAATGAGGTGTATCTGAGGAAGAAAAGAAATAGAAACTAGGATTTATATTTGAAGAGGATGCTCTAGAAAGAACTAAAATGTAAATAGCAATTACATTTCTTAAATCAAAGCTATGTATCAAGAGACATTGCAAATAAATTGACCCTTTTTGGTTTTTCCTTTCCTTTGAGAAGAAGTGACCCACACTAGGAGGCAGAGGCAGGGTATTGCGCAGACAATACCAGATTTATTAGAATCAAAAAAATTCCAAGGGTTAAAAAAAAGTGGGATCCTTAATTCCTTACTCTAAATGTTAAAAAGAAATAAAAACATTCCCATCCATGACGGTAGCTAGCAAAAACATATTTTGCAAGTAAGGTCTCCAAATTCCCTAAAGAAAATGACCCATATTTGATGAAAACACTACCAAACCTTCATAAAATATTTAGCTATGTGAAAAGCAAGAAATTAGATGGATTATGTAGGATACTAAATAGCAAGGAACATTACAGCATCAACAGAGGCTTCAGCTGGGCCTTTGAAATAGCCGAAATTTGCAAATGATATATGGTCTATGCCTTTTTTTCCTGAACTATAAAAAGAAAAAACAAATAAATATGTATGCATATAACATGGTAGAGGGCAGCCTACTAGAGCATCCAGAATTGTAAATCTTCAAGTTTCTGTTTCAAAATGTGCTCTTCTGACTTCAACTGTTTTACCCTGAAGTAAGATTGTATAACATGGACAAATAAGCAAGCTTTAATTCTAAAGCATAAATGAATGGAAAGAATGAATACCGTTTGAACTGCTTAAATATAAGGCCATAAATGATAGCACAGCAAACTAGACACGCGAAAAATACCTTAACTCTCTCCTCTTCATTAGTGTCCATAATATATGCCATATACGTAGGACATAACAAATAAACTTGATCAAAAGGCGCAATTAAATAAAATAAGGGACCAGCCGTGTCATAATCATTAGATATTGAAATGCTAGAAACAACATATTCTGAATAATGATCATCATCCGTCTAGAAAAATACAATAAAGTCAATTAAAAAATAAGATGAAAGTTGTGATATCCAACACTGATGAAAATTCTCAAACAAGATTAAGGCCTATACTCTATAAAACGAGCCCGTAATTTATTCATCATTCTGAACAAATAGGATTTTGGAGTTAGTTAACTAAATCTCACATACTTACTTGGGGAAGGTAACAAATAAAAAAATGGGAATAAACATCATGGAGTATAGAACTAGACAAAACCCCTTATGCATAACAACAAATGTTAACAGAGCCATGAATGATATGTATAATTCTAAAATTATTAAAAACTTGACATAAACAAGGAAAACGAGGAAAATAATGAGACAATGTGCGCCGCAATGGATCCTCATTGAAATCAATGGAGCAGACACTTTTTGTGCTAAACATTGAGGAAATTATGGATTGCACTGAAAACAAAGAGAAGGAAACACAGGATATTAAATCAAAGGGCAACAAGAGAACTTCACAGGATATTAAGTTTGTGGAAGTTAGGAATTTAGAGATTTATTAGTTTAATTTGCTATAAGTTGCTGGCACATGTGAAGATTGCAGGTTTTTTCAAGAAGTTGTTTCCATCAGATAAAGCATTAAAAAAAATAATAATAAATAAATTTAACTACTTTTACTTTAGTCTCGTTTCCTATCTGTTCTTATTTCATTTTGCTTTCCCTCAATAAATCTAAGATCCAAACATGGCCTAAAGTTACTTTAAGGATTCTATAAACTATAAAAAGGCAAACCACAATAAAGAAAATTCACAACCTTAAAATATCAGTCAAAGCATAGCAGAACATTTGCAAACTTAAATTATATAAATATTTTAACAATGAAAAAGGATGCAAATTCAAGATGAACCTTAGGTAGAAGTACCTGTTTCTGAAGATTCAATAAAGTCAATATTTCTTTTCTCAACTCAAGATGCTTTGCACATACAGCTTTGGTTGGAACCTTTGGTTTTAAAGTAACCTATGAAAGGAAAGGGCATGATTGCTTATTAAGAAGCATTTTAATGGAAGACAATGTGTAAGAAGTGACACCACAAGATAGCAAATTTTGAAACATCTAATGAAGAACAATATGTTTATTATTTCCTAAAAATTTAAAAACTATGTTAGGCTTAGGAGCAATAAGGAAACACAAAAAGGAAAAGTATCCGAAGCTTAAGTTACACAAAAAGGTGCACCTCAAGCAAGCCAACTTGAGCAACTCAAGTTATAACTCTCACTATAGTATAATAAGTGTAACACCAACAATTAAAGCAACTATGTGATTCATATCTATGGAACACACTCATTATTTTCACACTATCATCATTAGGCATATTGTCAAACACATGGTGAGCAAAATATAAAATTATAAAATTGTAGTCGTTCAATCAAACACCAACAAGATAGAAATCCATCAAGAAAAAAGTGAGTAACAGATATACATATTATGAAGTTTCTGATATCAATCAGTCAATGAATGGGAAGGAAAAAAAAAATCATTCATCAAATCCATCAGTTCAAAAATTATAGAAAAATTCATATATAGAAACTCGAACAACAATCACAAAACACAAAAAGATAAAAAAAAAAATTTTTACAGAAATTAAGATCAGAAACTTCATATACAAAACTCTGATACAGAGTTTAGAAATCAGAGTTTACTTGGTCCCTATATATTTAGAAATCAGAGTTTCAGAGTTTTAAACTTCATATATATCAATAATTTTAACAGTTTAGAGAGCACTGACCAAGGGTTTTCGATACCAGGTGACAGAGAACTCGGAAGAGAAGTAAATCGACAACCGAGATTCTTCTTCAATGAATCGATGATGAAATCTTCCATTGATTGAAGATTGTGATGTAGAAAATGATGAAGAGAAAGAAAAAGAGATAATCAGATCAATATTGTTAACCATATATATGTGTATAGGCGCAGAGAGAGAGAGAAAGAGAAACGCACCAAAATTTGAAGAAGATTGAGCAAATCTGCCATGGATGCTTCCAATCTGTCTTGGAGCTCTAGAGAGAGAGCAAACCCGTTGAAGAGAGAACGAGAGTTGCAACTTTTTGATCGCTAACCCGTGAGGGCTGAAGTTAGTTCCCGACTTTTCAATGGCTAAAATGATAAAAATATTCACTGTCACTGCCACAATGCTTGTTGTGTTTATATATATGTATTTTTTTTTCTACCTCATTAGTAGCGGGTTTAGAGTCACTAAATTAGTGATCTTTATCATAATTATAAAAATATTTAGTCATGCTTTTAATTAATAATGATAAAAATATTTAGTCTCTAAAAATGTTAACGATGTATTAGTAATCAAATTTATTAGTCTCAAAAAGTTCCTTAAATATTAAGTGAGAATATTAATAGTTATTTTTACAATCTCATAAGTAAATTATCATATGTTTAAATTAGGTGATTATTCAGTATTCTCAAAGTATAAACATGTGATGTTCCATAAGATTTTGATTGGTAGAAAGACACAAAGGCCCACGATTTATGTTGGTGATAGGAAAACAACATGAGACTAAGTAATTGGTGATTGGTTTGGAGTATGGACACAAGCCTAAAATTTTCATCCTCTTAACATGAGTCTCTCTCAAGCCTTAAAAATGATGCTAGAAAAATGGTACCTAAAGCTCCTAAAACCCCGACCCCTCCAAAATCCTTTTCCACCAAGATATGACCCCGCTAAATACTATGCCTATCATCAACAGCACGGTCATGATACAAACCGTTGCATCTGCTTCCATCATAAGATTCAGAATCTTATTGACGAAGAGATCATAGCTCCACCAAAAGGATCTCAGGCCACCACTAACCCGTCACCTCCACATCTTAATCTAATCTATACACTGCCATCCACCTACAACCCCAGCATATACATCACCCCAGCCCATTTACCCAAACCTGATGTGTTCATTCCAGAAAGTACGAACTTGTGTATGATGGATGCACTTGAACCTCAATCATCTCAAACCCATGAACCCACTACTTCTGAGCTAATAAGCATGATTGAAGATCTTCAAAGAACTGTGTCAAATCTAGCCTTTGGGATATTGGCTCTATCATGGACCACATCACATACCAAGAATTTCATGTCAAATGGCTCCCCAATCTTGGGACGGGCTGGATTTGAAGAAGGCCAATCCCTTGGCGAAGCTAAAGCGAGGGGCAAGAACAAGGCCGAGGCAAGTATCGATCCTAATGCACATCTCTGACGTGCTATTGAGGCTTTAAAGGTCAAAGGACTGAACAAACAGCAAGTGCTTGCAATTGTTGCAAAAATTGTGGATGACACTTTTGTCACTCAGGTTGAGAGCATTCCGAATCAAGGGGCAAGTCATGAAAAGGGCTGCCGTATCAGAAACACCCCTTTCAGCTCCAATCCTACACTTGTTGGAGATCATCAAACCTAGTCAACACCTGTTGTCAGGACTGGTAACCGCACCTTCAATCCCCTTTATATGACTTTATCCAAAGCTCTCCAAATCCTCATAGGACAAAGCCATCTCAAACCCCTTGACCCTCGGCCTCTCCCTGATCCCCTTCCAGCTAGGTGTAAAGCTGCGAAGTACTACGCCTTCCATCAGCAAACCGACTATGACACTGACGGTTGTTTTTGTCTTCGCCATGAAGTTCAATATACGACTGACAATAAGGTCATCACCCCACAAGGTCCTATAAAGTCTATCGGCGCTGGATCGATGAACTTGGGGGATAATGTGACTATGCGATCGGGGATGAACCACCTGTTGATGTGCTTATTTTACTCTAGATGTAATGGATGGCACGCACTATTTTAGCACTTTGAAAATATTGTTTATTTTACTTTTTACTTTTTGAACTAGGTATCATGCCAGTCTTGCCACTACTTCTGAGCTAATAAGCATGATTGAAGATCTTCAAAGAACTGTGTCAAATCTAGCCTTTGGGATATTGGCTCTATCATGGACCACATCACATACCAAGAATTTCATGTCAAATGGCTCCCCAATCTTGGGACGGGCTGGATTTGAAGAAGGCCAATCCCTTGGCGAAGCTAAAGCGAGGGGCAAGAACAAGGCCGAGGCAAGTATCGATCCTAATGCACATCTCTGACGTGCTATTGAGGCTTTAAAGGTCAAAGGACTGAACAAACAGTAAGTGCTTGCAGTTGTTGCAAAAATTGTGGATGACACTTTTGTCACTCAGGTTGAGAGCATTCCGAATCAAGGGGCAAGTCATAAAAAGGGCTGCCGTATCAGAAACACCCCTTTCAGCTCCAATCCTACACTTGTTGGAGATCATCAAACCTAGTCAACACCTGTTGTCAGGACTGGTAACCGCACTATCAATCCCCTTTATATGACTTTATCCAAAGCTCTCCAAATCCTCATAGGACAAAGCCATCTCAAACCCTTTGACCCTCGGCCTCTCCCTGATCCCCTTTCAGCTAGGTATAAAGCTGCGAAGTACTACGCCTTCCATCAGCAAACCGACTATGACACTAACGGTTGTTTTTGTCTTCGCCATGAAGTTCAATATATGACTGACAATAAGGTCATCACCCCACAAGGTCCTATAAAGTCTATCGGCGCTGGATCGATGAACTTGGGGGATAATGTGACTATGCGATCAGGGATGAACCACCTGTTAATGCGCTTATTTTACTCTAGATGTAGTGCATGGCACGCACTATTTTAGCGCTTTGAAAATATTGTTTATTTTACTTTTTACTTTTTGAACTAGGTATTATGCCAGTCTTGTTGTATTAAGTCAGTCTTGTTGTGTCAGAGGTTGGTGTTTTCGGGGGTGTTAACTCGGACATCACTTCCTTGTTTGTTTTTGTTTGTCTTTTGACTCTTTCTTTTGCGTCCATTTCTGTCATTGAGACAGTCAAGCCAGAAGATCTGAATGAATGAAAGTAATTTTCACTTACTTTTTTGTGCCTTTAAATCATTGTATTAACCAAAGTTTTTCAAAACTATTTCCAAAACTGTGATGAAAACAAAGAGGGGGGAATTCCTCGGGATTTGAAAAATTTGATTGATTGAGAATAAGAGAGGCGTGCTAAGCCCCTAATGAATGAGATCATGTTTGTTAAAATGAGTACTGAGAAAGATCCTGGCTTGATCCAGATTGGTTCTATATTGTCTTCAGAAGAGCATGAGCGACTAATTGCTTTATTAAAAGAATTTCAAAAATGTTTTACGTGGTTCTACGAAGACATGCCTGGAATTGATCTTGAAATTGTATAGCATAGGATCACTCTTAGCCTCAAGACTCGACCCCTTTGCTTGCAAACCTTGAACCTTAATTCAAAATGTTCAACAATCAACCACAATGTGAGGCTTGCATAGCCCGATTCGAAACAGCCTTTGAACTAGGGGTAAGATGGTCGTATGTCATCAAAGAAAGCTTGCATAGTTAGATGAGAAGCAACCTAGAGGAATAAGACATGAACAACAATACAAAATAATGAAACCCGAATCCAGAATATCAAATGGGTCGAGGTCTTAAAGCAGAATCGCTATAATTAATTTTTCGCGTGAATAAGTTTTTATTACGAGATCCATGAGAAAGATAGTTTAAATCATCTATGTGTGCCCAACTTGAGGCTGCCCATAAAAAAAAGTGTGGTGAAGTTATGAAGAGATGAAGTATGGAGCGTAATTCCTCCCACTCTATATCAAGGGCTATATGTTCATATAATTTTAACAAATTCTTATATTTTTTTTTTAACTTCATTCCATGTCAATTTAAGCCTTTTTTCCTTCCTAATATTTTAATTTATGGTTATCAACTCTTTTCCAATCATACTGGTTGACTAAATTCTAATTCTCTGAAGTAAAAAGGAATTTTCATCTAAAAGGCTCTATGAGCTCTAAGACATGATAGTAATGCTAAAATCTACCACTTAACATAATCCTACCTAATATTTTATTTAGTTTTTTCCTACGGCGAAAGTCAATAATTAGTTGTTAGATTAGTACTTATGAGAATTAGTTTCCCCACCCTTGCAAAATATCAAGTACTTGTTTACTAATTCAACTCTCCCATATGGAGAGTTAAATGGGAATAAAACCTTAGGAGAGTTATGGTGGCCAACTAAGTTAAGCCTAGATGGTTTAATATTATAGGGTTTATTACACTTTGTATCCTTAAATTATCATTATACTATCTATTTAGTCCCTGAACTATCAATTGTGTCTGTTAAGTCCCTAAAATATATAAATCAAATCTAGTTAGTCATTAAACTAACGATTGAATCTATTAAGTCCTTAAAATATTTAATTAAAATATATTTAGGCCAAGTTTGGGAAGATAAGAAAAAGTTAAAAAGTCAAAAAGTTACTCAAAAAGTTAAAAAGTTAACACTATTTATCAAAAGTCTACAATTACGACTGCACAACTCCCAATCCTAATTTTCCCCCACAAACCAATTTTTATAATTTTTTAATACATATTTTTCCATAAAAAGTAAAAAAAAATTAACCCAAACATCCATATTTTTTTTTTTCTCAATTTTTTAGTCCAAAAAGACAAAAAATGCACTTATTTAGGACACCCAAAACAACCCCTTAGTCCCTAAAAAGATTATAAAAATAAAATATAAATTCATAGATATTATAAATTAGTAAAACACCCTATTTAGTTAAAATTTTAATTCAAAAAAAAATTAAAAAATTTTATTCTGTCTTTGAAAATTGGGTGCCAATCCATATATTGAATTTCCTTTATAAGGATAAGAGTAATTATTTATAGTATTTTTTTACTTATCTTCTACAATAGATAAACGCTTGCCTTAATAACTAATATTATATGTTAGATTTCATTTATAATTTCTAATTGATTATTTTTAAATTTTTCGCTAAGTTCTTTTTATTACTTAATTAATGTATTATTTTGCTCTATTACTATTTGTAGAGAAGTGCAATTTTTTAAACTATCCAGTTCTACTTCTTCAGTATATCTAATATTCATATAATCTATTGGTAAGACTAGAAAATCTTACTCTAATATTAATTTAAACACACAACAAAATAAAATATCTTTTAAAGACAAAATAAAAATTAAAAAAAAAAATTCTGTAATAAAATCTTAATTAGAGAGGGTTTTTTACTAATTTATAATACGT